CCCTGTTGGGGCAGAGTGGGTCTCCATTAGCCCAGGGGTCAGTTACCCGTGTCACCATGTAGCGACCACTCTCAGCTTAGGGACGTAAAACTACCACCAGATATTATGGGCTCACAAACCTGCAGCTTGAGCTGGCTGAGCTAAGTGGTTCTCTGGCCTGGAACCACTCATGCAACTCTTCGCGCTGGTGGCTTGACTGGCCGGGCGGGCCCCGGTCACGTGTCTCCACGTGGCCTCCCCTCTGCAAGTAGACCGGCCTTGGCTTCCTGAACCGGCCTGGCAACAGGTTAGATTCAAGAGCTGCCAGGTGTCTTAAGGCCGAGACTGTGGGATGAGCCCCACATCGCTTCCTCCCTGTCCCACTGGTCATAAGGCCAGATTGAAGGGGAGGGGACACAGACCCCACCTCTTCGTAGAAGTTGTTGGGAAATGCCCACCGTTTTGAATTCCCCTTCCCACCAACACACACACAGGGAGGCTTTGGATCGAGCCATCGAGGAGTTTACCCTCTCTTGCGCCGGCTACTGCGTGGCCACTTACGTGCTAGGCATCGGTGATCGGCACAGCGACAACATCATGATCCGCGAGAATGGGCAGGTAGGGCAGCGCCGGCTGCCGGGTGCGCCGCACCCTCCCGGCTTTCTGTCTCTCCCTCCCGGAGCCCCCTTCCCCGACCGGGGCACTCTCCTCTCTGACCGCTTCTCCCTGCCTCTTCTTAGCTGTTCCACATTGATTTTGGCCACTTTCTGGGGAATTTCAAGACCAAGTTTGGAATCAACCGTGAGCGAGTCCCATTCATCCTCACGTATGACTTTGTGCACGTGATCCAGCAGGGGAAAACGAGTAACAGTGAGAAATTTGAAAGGTGAGGGTGCTCGGGGTCCCGGGCCGGGCTCAGGGTCGGGTCCTGTAGGAGGAAGGGGTGGGGGCCGTGTCCAGGGTGAGAGCAGGGCGGGAATGGCTGGGAGGAGCCAGAGCCCCGCCTGCCACGTCCCTCTGGCCCCGCAGATTCCGGGGTTACTGTGAGCGAGCCTACACCATCCTGCGGCGTCACGGGCTGCTCTTCCTTCACCTCTTCGCCCTGATGCGGGCCGCCGGCCTGCCGGAGCTCAGCTGCTCCAAAGACACCCAGTATCTCAAGGTAAATGCCAGGGTAGGGCCCAGCCGGGCAGACCCGGTAGCCCCCAAGTCCCCGAGGCCCGCCTCCGAGCACCGTGGACCCCACAGGGCACTCCCAGTGGGGGTTCCTCATGCCGCCCGCGACCCAGCCGGAGGTCAGCCTGGGTCCGTGGCAGATGCGCTGGGACCTCCCTGGCCCGCCCTCCCATCCTCCGCAGGCTGCCGTGGTTCCACTCGAACAAGAGGGCGCGATTAGATACATTCCGTCCTCGTTGAAAAATGCTTTTCCTTCCTGTGTCTTTTCAGTGTGGGAGAAGCTGGGGGGTCGGGAGGGTGGTCGGCCACGAGCCCCTCTGTGGTGCCTGGGCCATGCACAACAACGCTGCCCCCTCCTCCTCTCCCCCTGTGCGGAAGGTGAGGCCACCTGTCCACCCCTGCGACTTTGGGGGCCCGCGGCTTCCTGGCTGGAGTTGGCTTCTTACTTGGAGGGTGGGTCGGGAGACCCATCTCGGTTTGGAATCAGAACAGAGAGCTTTTCCCAGGGGAGATGGTGGTGGCTGTCTCCTGATTCCCTTCCTGCGAGTCTTTCAGAAGGGAATTTACAATATTCGGGGCGGGGTGGGGGTTGCCCCCTGTCGGGTCGAGCTCACTGCTTTGACGGTTTTACCCCAGGACTCCCTGGCGTTGGGGAAGACAGAGGAGGAGGCTCTAAAGCACTTCCGGGTGAAGTTTAATGAAGCCCTCCGGGAGAGCTGGAAGACCAAAGTGAACTGGCTGGCCCACAATGTGTCCAAAGATAACAGGCAATAACTGCCCGCGAGCCACCCACCCGCCTCGGGAACCGGGCACCAGGCACCCTCAGCCGTCCTTTGGGGCCGAAGAGCCTGAACGGCACCCCACGGGCAAGCCCCTACACACTGCCTTTTGTTTACACTGGTTATTTATTTATGACTTGAAATGTTTCAGGAGCTAAACAGCCATAAATGGAAATGCATCCTTTGTACAGGGGAGGGGCGCCGTCTTCCCGCGCCCCTGATCCGAGCCTCAGGCTCTGAGGAGACGCTGGGAGTCGGGCACCTCCGAGGCTGCATCTTGCTAAGGACCGTCAGTCACCCCGAGTCTTCCAGCTGGTGAATCAGGACCCAGCAAAGACTGCTCTCTCCCCACCGCCGGGAAGCCTGCCTTCTTCCCAGGCTCCCGCTGGGCTGCACAGGGCTTGGCGCCTTGGCGATCACCCTGCTGACAGGGTGCCCACGACCCCGTTCCCCCCCTCCACCTTTGTGCTCTCCACTGACTGAGCGCTGGGCAGGTCCCAGGGGAAGCCTGGGTTCCCTCTAGATTCAGGGATGCTTGCTTTCCACTTTTAAAGTGACTCTTGGGTACGGGACTCCTCCCATCTCTCTGCTGTAAAGCAATTCTGTTTGCGGGTAACAAAGAAAACAGCCAAACTACTCACTGAACCTCGATGGCTCAGAATGGCCTCAGCCCCATAAAGTATAATAATATGCTGGTCCTCAAGACATTAAAAAGATTGGAGCTTGATTGAGCGAGCTCAACCATGGATCAAGGTGAACGCAGGTCAGAGTGCTCTGTGCAATTTTCCGTCTCCTGCCTCGTAAAGCAGGTTTTGAGGACGGGAGGACTTGATCTCCAGAACTCTCCCCTTTAACCTGCTGTGGGTGAGCAATCAGGTATCAGAAATGTGAGGTTGGTCTGTGGTGGAATGTTTTCCTCTGACAGTACTTGGCTTGAAGCAGTTCAGGCTTCGCCTTCGGTGGACCTGAAGAGCTCTAGCAGTGCCAGGTTCCTGGGCCCCTCCCGGCCGTCTGAGGCCGACTCTGGAGACAGGGCTAGGAATCTGGGCTTCTCAAAGCCCACGGGTGAGCCTGATGTGTTAGCAGCCGCCTCGGGCCCCACCCAGCTCCACTACTGGTCTCTCAAAGGCCTTGCAAGGCCTGGCAGAGCCGGGAGCGGCTGCCCTCTGTACAGGTGCACGGCTTTAAAAAAAAAAAAAAAAAAAGAACCCAGGTGCCGACCTTCTTTGGTTAGTTAGAGGCACAGTCCGTGAGCAGGGAGTGCCACCCACAGAACACCACTGACCCCACTCTTGTCCCCAACTAAGTGCTGAATTCATTCGCCCCACCTCGCCAGTTTGGCAATAGGAAAAGCTGAGTGTATGTCTCTATGTTATGTTATTTATTTAAACAAGTCTATGTGCTTCCTGGTGTTCTGGTTCGGGTACACGGCCTGTGCACCTGCCAAGAAAGAATCTTTTCTGGTTTTTTTTTTTTTTTTGGTCTTTTAACAGTTCTGTATGGGGAAGGTGAGTTCAACACTTAACCCATGGGGGTTGAAGACCAGCACTCTGTGAAGCCTTGGCAGGAGAGGTAAAAGCATACTAAAAGAAAAGCCTTTTTATGTTGTGTTCTCAGGTCAAAAAAAACCACAAAAAAACAAAAAAACCCACAAAAAACAAAGCAAGGGGATGCAGGATTAAAACAAAACCGGGCCCAAAGCTGACACACTGCCACTGGGGTTAGAACCAGCACTTTATTGTAGTGTATACACGTTCTGGCCTCATCAATATACACATCCGGAAAGCGGCCCACGCGGAGCCCGCGTCAGCCTCTATCATTGTCCACACGGGGCAGGTACAGTGACAGTACGCGGAGGGCGGCCACACACAACGCAGGACAGCCGCAGTGTCCTCGCGACTAGCAGTCACGATCACAGAACAGGATTCAAATGATTTTCCCCCAGTTTTAGAAATCTAAAATTTTACATGTAAATTAAAAACAAAGTGCCATAGGGGTTTTAGCTCAGGACGTGTCCTCTCCTTTTCCTCCCCCACCAGGCTGAGCAGCAGGGCTCCCCACTCCTGGGGAGGGGGCTTACCTCTGGGGCTGTTGTGGGGGGGGAAGCTAGCACTTTGCCTTCCGGCCGCAGGGCGTCCTTGCAGTGCGTCTGTCCTCGGACGTCCTGAGTACGGGCCACTCAGGCCCGTTCTGTCTCCAACCAAGTGGCCAGATGCTTTGCACCGTCCGTACGCACACTCACCAGCAGGGCAACGGACATCTAGTAGGTATGAACCCAAGGCTGCGCACGAGGAGTCCAGCTTCCTGCGCAAGGAGCTGCCGGTCATCGGAGGAGTGTGTGAAAGAGGCCAGGGACCCCGGCACCCCCACCCCTCTGCCAGATCAGAAATGGGTAGAATCCCAAAGCAAAGGCCTGGCCGTTTCCAGCCTCCAGAGAGGGGTCCCGACCTGGTGCCCTCCTGCTGAGCTGCGGGTGGGCGCAAGTCCATTCCCCCTCACTGTCTGGCCCACCCACCGAGGGGGTGCACCCAGCAAGGCCCGAGCAGGGCAGGTCCCTCTCCTCTCGGGGTGGGGGATGAGGCAGGAGCCCGCGGGGTCTCTCCTACGCTGTGTTTCAGGCTTCACTTTGCATGCCAGTCCTGGGTCACGCTAGCACGGAGGACATGAGGAATCGCAATTTATTTACAAAATATTAAAAAGTCAGTTCATCATCTACATATTAACCCCCATCCTGCCATTTTATACATGCACTAGTTTGGAAAAAATAAAAACTTTAAAAAAAAAGAAAAAAAAAACACCGGATTACGAGGTGGGAGTGAGCGATTTTAACCCTTTGTCAACGAGTCCGTTCACTGCAGCTTTTCTGGAGGCGCGAGGGGGCGGCGCAGAGCGAGCCGTGGGCGGCGAGCGTCAGCTCCTCACATAACTTAAGGGTGGTCTGGGTGGAGGGCGGGGGGCCTACGCGCCAAGCACAGGCGGGCGGGCGGCGACGGGGAGGCTCTGCGGACCTACGGGCCGGAATGACTTTGTACACCGTGGACCCTCGGGCCCGGGGGGGGGGGACACAGGACGGCGGAGTCTCCCGAAGCGGAAAGGGCGGCGGCGGGGGCGGCGGCGGCGGCTCAGTAGCTGAGGGTGGAGTCGTCCCACTCCAGCTGCTGCTGCCTGCTCACGTTCCGCTGGTCTCCGTGCCCGCCCTCCTCGTCCTCGCTGCTCTCCGACTCGGCGCTGGTGATGTCGTCGTCGTCCTCCCCCTCCTCGCTCTCCTCCTCCTCCTCCTCCTCCTCCTCCTCCTCCTCCCCGTCCTCGGCGCCGTGCTGGTCCGCGTACGTCTGACGGAGAGACGGCGGTGAGCCGAGCCGCGGGCCCTGCGCGCGGCCGTTCCCCCGCCGGGCGCCGCGGACCTAGGGCCTCCCCGCGTCACAGGCCCCGTCGAGGGAGGGCCGGACCGCGCTGGAAGGCACCTCGGCCCAGACGGAAGGGAAACCGCAGCCCTGGTCGCCGCCCGGGAGGCCTGTCACGCGCGGGGAGGGTGTTTCTACCCTGAGGCGGTGACACGAGCCCTGACATGGCCTCTCTGGGCCCTCAGTCTGCCCACCGGAGGAGCGGGGACGCCTGCACCTCGCCAACCTGTCATGTGGCTCACGTGACATTTAAGCCACGTAAACGTGGATGTGCCACCGCCATGTGGCTTCTCTGGGGCGCGCATCGCTCTGGCCCTGGCCTGCAGGGGTTTTCAGTCGCGGGGCTGCCTGTCGGCACCTACCTCCATGGGGTTTACGGTGATGGTCAAGGCAGAGTCGTCCCAATCCATCTCGTTCTCCTTCCCGGCGTCCTGGTCCCGCATGGTTCGCTGGTGAGCGACCCGGATCCGGAACACGCCCAGGATAATCATGAAGACCAGGAAGCTAACACACACCACTATCACCACCGTGGCAGTGCTGGGGACAACTGTGATCGAGGGGAGACGGGGCGGTGAGGCTGGTGCCCGCCCCAGGTCGTGCCCGCCGCGCCCCCCCCACCCCCCCCGAACACACGGCTGCTCCATCTGACCCCAGAGAACAGGAAGAGACGTAAGGAAAGTCTGAGCACAGGTTTCAAGCCCTGGCCTGGCCACTTTCTGCCCTGCCGTGCTTCCATCCCTCGCAGGTGACGCAGAATCACAGAGCCCAGTCAGCTAGGGCTGCTCGGACCAGGGGCTGGGCTCCCAGCAGCATGCGGGAGGGTGTCCCCCGCCCCCCCAGACGGCCCTGCTTCTGCCTACAGTCCTACCTGCAAAGGGATGGGGGCTGGCCAGGTTGTGACCCGAGAGGTCGACGAAGGCATGGTGCTCCGGGTAGACGAACTGGGGCTGCGCGGCCATGTGGCTGGCGTGCTCCATGGGGCTGGCCGTGTGGATGACGTTCACCTGCAGCAGAGACACAGAGAGAGGCCTGAATGTGGCCCCGGGGCGGAAATGCAGTTCAGAAGCTACTGGGACTAGTGTGGCTCAAAGGGGTCCCTGGACCAGCACTGCTGAGCGGATGGGAACAGAAAAAAAATTTAAGGGTCAACTCTCAGAAACCATCATAACTGCCTGATGCTGTCACCCATCCCAGAAATAGAGCGCTGTTCTAATAATTCCCTTTCATTGTATTTCATAAAAGAACCTGTCCACAAAAGAACAGAAAAACCACCACCACCGTCCTTCACTGCGGGTCATTCGAGAAGCACCGGCATAGCCCATTTCCCCGCTTTTCCCCAAAACCACAGCCACATGAAAGAGCACAAATCATAACCATTTATTTCCTTTCAAATCTGTTAGCCTTTGGCTCAAACAAAACCCTCATTGATTCTTCAGCACTGTGACTTCAGCATTCTGCTGCTGAGGTCACCGTGCAGACATTCGATTGCTGAGAATAACTCTGGGCCCATTTCTTCAGACCACAGAAGCCCTGAGTGACGAAGGGGCTCCCATCCAGGCCTGTGGAAGACTTCAGAGCAGGGCGAGCACCCTCTGACAACCGCGCACTGAGTTGCCACCATCAGGCTTGGCAGGCAGCACAGCACCCCTCTCCCTGGGCCAGCCCCGTGCCAGGACCCCTCTCCCTGGGCCAGCCCCACGTGAGGACCCCTCTCCCCGGGGCCAGCCCCGCGCCAGCCCCACGTGAGGACCCCTCTCCCTGAGGCCAGCCCCGTGCCGGGATCCCTCTCCTTGGGCCAGCCCCACGAGGACCCCTCTCCCCTGGGCCAGCCCCACACCGGGACCCTCTCCCTGGGCCAGCCCCTCGCCGGACCCCTCTCCCCGGGGCCAGCCCCACGCCGGGACCCCTCTCCCCCGGGTCAGCCCCACGTGAGGACCCCTCTCCCTGGGCCAGCAGCCTGCAGAGAATCTTCGGTTCCCTGGGAACTGCTCTTTCTCAAGCAGTGTCAAATCTTAACAACGTTGGCTCTACTCATGAGGTATTAACTGCCCGAGGTATTATTAGCTCCTGACCACCTCCTTCCAAAGGCCCCTCAGACGCCCACGAAAGGGGCACACCAGCTGCACCCCGGCCCACCCAAACCTGCACGGGTCTAACCTGCAGCAGCCCCCCGGGCTGGGAAAGGCTAGCGCGCAGCTGGACGTACCCCAACAGTTGTCACACGAATGCTCTAAAAATGGCGTTTGCAAACATCAGGGCCGTAGGTGGGCACCCAATCACCCACCTCCACCTGAAACTCGTTGCTGACGTAGCGGCCATTCAGCTCCGAGCAGACGAGCTTGAACTTCCGGTCGAGCAGAGACCTGGTGTGCCAGTTCCGATAGCGCAGGAGGCGCAGGGCCTCCTCGTAGCTGGCCATGGTGTCCACACCTGCGGGGACAGGGTGAGAAGGCTGCCTGCTGGCTGGGGTCAAAGCCAGGGTCAGGGGAGGCTGGAGTCAGGCCCAGGGGCGGCTGGACCAAGCGGGTACGCGTGTTGGCTTTCCAGTTGCGGGGAGAAGTGTGAGTGTGTGGGCACGTCCGTCCCTCTCTCGGGTGCCATCCCGAGCCTGACTTCCACCCCCTCGTAAGGACAGGAAGTAGGGCAATACCTGCACTTCCTGCCAGGAGAAGGCGAGCAGCCCATGCTGAGCCTCCAGGACTTTCCCAGAGCTCAGAGAGGACAGGGGGCAGGGCTGAGGCTCCCGCTCCGCCCCCAGCCTGGCCTTGGCCCGCTCACCCGTGAAGACCATGCCCAGGTCGGAGGCGCTCACTGCAATGCCCTTCTGCTGCAGGCGGGCCGTGTCCACCTCCAGGCTCTCCTGGGCCGGGTTCAGCTCGTCCCCGTCCACTGTGACCTCACAGGTATCCAGGTCATGCACGATCTCCTCAGACACCAGCGACTCTTGGACTGCAAAAACAGACCGAGCAGCCATAGCAGAGGCCGGGAGCCCAGGCAGGCCGGTCACGCTGGGTGGCCTGCTGGCTGTCCTCGAGCTCACAGAGCCCTTTCAAAGACCGATGACAGAGGGACAGGACAGGCCCTTTGAAGAACTGGGGTGCCTTATGTGTCTGGGAGGACTGGCCCCCATGCAGCCAGCGGGAGCAGCATCGTCCCCTGCAATTGGCCCGGATCCTCTCAGCCTGCACAAGGGCAGCTCAGATCCGGACATCCCACTGGACAAGGAGGAAAGGACTCTGCAGGTGGGTTTCCAAAGAGCACAATGAGCTCTCGACCGTGGGTCAGATTCCAGGAGCAGACCCAAGAGTAACATCGAAACATCCAAATCTCCCAAAATCTCAGGAAAAAAGAATGCAGGAAGTAGGTAGCAGCTGTGGGGTGTCAGCCACCCGGGTTCAAGCCAAGGGGAGGGCCACTAGCCCAGCAGAGCTGTTACCTGTGGGATCCTCATCTCCTTCCCCTTCAGGCTCCACTTCTCTCGTGATGGTGCTGATGATCCGAAGCTCAGGGAAAAGGAAAACCCCTTCTGGGCTTTCAAATTCAGAAGCTGCTCGAGCGAAATGGTGGACGCCACTGAGGCTGATCTTGGGCTCCTCGGGCTGCAGCACCATCACGTAGCCGTCCACCGGGGGCACGGAGATGCAGGAGGCCTCGTTGAAACACCTGCCAGCAAGCGATGGAGGCGGCAAAGGTCAGGGCTTTGAGAAGCGGTTCTGCAGGCTACACATGCAATAGCCCATGGATTCCCCAAGCCCTTGGGGGGACAGAGGTAGCGGCCGGGCCCAACACCATTCCCGGACACCGTCCGTGCCCTCCAGTAACAAACGATGGCTGGGGTGTCTTAGAAACCTAAATATACATGTTTTCTTTTCAAGAGTTAAGAATCAGCACGTACTTGACCGTGCTGGTGATTTTGAGTCTTCGGATTCCCGGTGTGGGGAACTGCCGGGAGTTCAGGTAGGCAACGTGCTGCATGGCCTTATCCAGCTCCCCAATGTCATCTCCCTCCAAGGTCAATGCCAACTGACTGGGGTTCGTATGGATCTGAAATCAGGCCAGAGGGTGGGGAGAAAAGGGTTCAAACTGCAAGAAGCTGAAACCACACACACTCTGGCAGAGAAAGAGGGTCAGCTGGGGATCGGTCTGAACTGGGGACCGGGGGGGGAAACCTCATGGAACTGCAGCGACAAGACCCTCTTGTTTAAGGGAAAACACCCAAGGCGCAAATGTATCTGTGGTATAAGAAATAAAGGGGCGCCCGGCGGGCTCAGTCGGTGTAGTGTGTGACTTGACTGCGCGATTGTGAGTTCAAGCCCCGTGCTGGGTGTAGAGATTACTTAAAAATGATAAAATCTTAAAAAGAAGGAAAGAAATATATATACATATATATATTTGGTCTCTATCCCCAGTTTCTGGCACAGAGACCCCCAAACCCTGGAAATTTCCTGAGTGATAGGAGCACCTTTTGTTACTCATAATGAGCCCCTTCCAAGCACACCAGCATCTGTGTTAACGAGTGGTTTCTGGGCGGCTGAGGCAGTTCAGGATGGAGCTGGCCACCACAGAGCCCACGTGACTACAGGGCTGGCACGTTCAGCCCCAACCCTGACCTCTGGCCAATGATTTAACCAGCGGTGCATACCTAACAGAAGCTCCGTAAACACCCCTGAAGGACAGGGTTTGGGAGCTTCCCGTGTGTGGGAGGGTGGCGCTCCCGGGGCGGAGGGGAGCTCCTTCCTCCTCCCCACTTCCTTGCCTTCTGCAATGTCTCCATCTGGTTGTTCCTGAGTTGTATTCTTTCTAATAAACCAGCAGTAGTAAGCAAAAGTGTTTTCTGCAGTTTTCTGAGTAGTTCAAGCAAATTTCTGAAACCCAAAAAAGTGGGGGATAACGGGAGCACCTAACTTTGTAGTGAAGCTGGACAGCAGTGTGGGTAACCCAAGGGCCTGGCACCTGCACACAGCATCTGCAGCGGGGGCAGCGTGGTGGCACCGAGCCCTCTTCTGCAGGCTCTGTGCTAACTCCTGGGAGTCAGTGTCAGAAGTGAAGCGACTTGCAGGACACCTGGAGGTGCAGGTGTCTGGAGAGGTGGGGACTGGCTCCTGGGAACCCCCCCCGCCAAGTTTGGGGTCAGAGGTGTTGTGAATAAACACATCAGTCCTTTGCCAGCAGCCTGCATGCCGGTGCTCGAGGAGGTCGCGAGGGCCGTGCAAGGCAATGCCAAGGTTACCTCCACGCCTCTGCTGCTGTCTTCGGGGACCTGCAGGTCCAGCCCTTCTTTGCAGGTATAAAGACAGTCGATCACCTTCTTGTCAGTGAGTTTCCCGGAACGGACGGTCAGGCCGGCCAGGTTACCTCGGAAAAACTGGGTCATGTGCAGCTCACCACCTTAGGAACACGGGGAGGGGACAAAGCAGGCAGTTACGTGCACGGCCCGGGGCCTCCTGCCTCACCTCACAATGCAGCGTTACCGGCGGTGGCAGCTGGATGGAGGGACGTGCGGGTTAGTTCATACCAAATCCTGTTAGCCTTGTAATCTACATGGAAGCGCAATGGAGAAATTAAATCGTTTATGATCATGCACATGGCATGGAAAAAAGAGGTGGTGGGGCTCCCTCACCCGAAGCTCGGAAGCCAAGAGGTCCCATGGGTGTCCCCACGTAACCGGCCACTCCCTGGAAAGGGTGGCCTATGCTGCCCCCCATCACCCTGTGCACTGGTGACATTTTCCAGTAGCACCAGCCTCCTGGGTCACCGCCTTCTCTATCAGCTGGGTCACGCTCTGGGCTGCTTTTTCTGACTGAGCACACTCGGGGACACATGCAAACTTGGGAACGAACCCACAGCAACAGGACTAGGAAGAAAAGAGGCACGCCTCCTCCCCCAGCCTGCGTGTGAGTGGCCTCGCGCGGCTGCTATCTGGCTGAGTCCCGTCGGGCCAGCCCCCACGACTAAGGATAACTGGGAACTGATGGTGTTATAAGGAAAACAGAGACCCAGAAAGTGGCCCTTGATGGACTGTAGCCAAGAGCCCAAAGCAGGTGAAACAGAACTTATTCTCGCAATGACAAAGGAGACCAATGTCCACAGCATGTCCCGTTCCTCATAAGGACATTAGACACTATGAGCCATCACCAGGGACTGAGATTTCTAACAAACATTTGTCTAAAATTTAGTATCGGTCAGGATAGAGAATCTAGTAATGAGTCTCTTCCCGTCTCGTGGTTCAGCCACAGGGGAACCAGGAGGCGGCCTCCCTGATGTGACCTGTGAGATTTCAGCAGGGAGCCTCATGCAGTGGGATCAGGGTCAAATCTGATTGGGGGGTGGGGAGGAGTCCCATTAGTGCAGTGCATTGATGAGTCATTTGCCCTCACTTCAACTGGGATCAGATTGGGCAAAAAAAGGGTCAATCCCGTGAAGCAGTGGGGGGAGCATAATGCAAAGCAGCAACTCAAATGGTTCTGGGACCAAAATGCAACTCGGGCATTTCATGCGAAATGTGGAATGAATTGATGTCTCGTCTTTAAATGAAACACAAGAGTGAACCGTAGGGAAAGATCCAGCAACCTGTAGAGGCCACAGGCACAGACTCGGTTTCATTGTCATTTTCAAATGCTGGATACTCTGTAGAAAAGCAAGACAAAGACAACAGAAAAGGACCAAGAGGTTAGGCTCTTCACACTGGAACTTGAAAATTAGTCTCGAAAAGCTACCGAATATAAAACACAAGGAAAATGCTTGTCTTGGCCCCCTTAGGGACACCTCCCCTCCCCCAAGCAAACTCATCCTCCATCACCTTTTCCAAACCCTTGCTCCCTGCCTTTCCGCATTCTTCTTTTATCTTTGCACACCTGCCTTGCCAAAACACAGGCCCAATTCAAAATAGGAAGAACAAAAGCACGTCCGCTGAACTCCCATCTCTTCGGCCTGTGTTACTGGGTGGGGTATTCCAAAGAGGCCGCTCAGACAGACGGCAGAGACGTGCCAGATACAAATACAACCAAATCCTGGGCCCACAGCACTTCTCTCCCTAATAGGGAGGACACTTGTATAAAGAAAATGGGACAGCACCAGTAAGCATCCAAAGCCTGGTATGTATAGTAAACATATAAAAGTATGTGTTTTTTGACCTCAAAACAAGTTCACTTTGGTCTAGACTTTAACCCCTAAGTCACAGAGAAATGAAGGCATTTTTACCCACTTTTTCTGAACAAAAAGGGCGAGTCTGGAGTTAAGGAACTTACCCAGAGAAATAGGTAATCAGTCATTGGTGGTGGGCCTGGGGCCTCTAACCACTGATCCCTCTTGGCCCTGGCCCGGTGTTCTGACGGTAACAGCAAGCCAGGGAGGCCCACGCCCAGTGACTGAGCACAGAATCTCCACTTTCCAGACTGTGTCGTGGGAGCACTCCACAGCCCATGGCACAGGCCCCCACACCTCCTGTGCTGCAGCGGCATGGAGATGTGCTGGGGACAGGCCTAGCATAAGCATCTGCATTCCCATGATGCCTCCAGGTGCCTCCAGAACACCGTTAGGGATGGCGTTTCGGTCGATGGGCGGGAGGCTGCTGCTTACAGCATGGGCCCTCCACCATGAATGTGTAAGGGAAGTGGTTTCCAAATCTAAAGGGAGGAAGGAGATCTTCCCCCCGGGTAACACATTTTATAAACCATGTGTTTGGTTTGGGAGCTTAGGTGTGTTTTTCTGGCTGAGGATCTTGAGAGGCTGAGGTAGAAAGAGATGAAGCTGATGGCCAGTGGGTGACAGACGCTGTGGCCCAAATAGGCCCCGGAGGCAGCCCAGAACAGGAGCTTTACTTTGACCCAAGCAGCAAAGCTCTTGGGTTTGCATTCATATTTTTATTCTTATTTTAAAAATTCTTATTTTTAAAACAACGTGAATTATTGTTTAATTTGGGAAGCAACTCTGGACTGAAATGTTAAGACTTAGCAACTAAGGGGGCGCGTGGGTGGCTCAGCTGGTTAAGCGGCTGCCTTCGGCTCAGGTCATGATCCCAGGGTCCTGGGATCGAGCCCTGCATCGGGCTCCCTCCTCTGCGGGAAGCCTGCTTCTCCCTCTCCCACTCCCCCTGCTCATGCTCTCTCTCTCAAATAAATAAAATCTTAAAAAAAAAAAAAAAGACTTAGCAACTAAAACAATTCCCACTTCCCTGTAACCTGTGTCTCGTTCCTTGGCCTCAAGTTCCACTTTCTCATAGATGAACCGTCCCCGAAATTAAATCTAGGAGTCAGCTAAAGAGGTTCACTCTAAAATGCTGTCTTAACCTTTTCAATTTAAAAGGATCTGCAGGAAAATGATGAAATCCAAAGTCTCTGAAATTAAAGCAATGCTGTCATGGGAATTAGGCTATTTGGTAAATTTCTCGCCGACCTCAAGGTACGATGTTTCCACAGGGAGAAAAAAATACTCAAGAGGTCTGTTTGGCAGGTACAGGCAGTGATGGCAACCCCGTCGAGTGTGAGGGTTCATGTGAGGCCGTGAACCTTGAGGGGAGACTGAGGGTCCCGCAAACTCAGGTGGGAAAGATTACGTGCTTACTTCCACGGATTTCTGAAGGTGAGCTTTCCCTTCGGATACGAATGTCGCTACAAAGCACGGCCTGGCTGTCACCACTACTTCCTAGCATGTTGTGATACTGCAAGTACCACAAAGCCCATTACCACTTCCAGATTATGGCAGTTATTGAACTTGCTGCCAGAGCTTGTTCTCCATTTGTTAATAAAGCAGCACAGGTATTACCATTTCAAAACGTTAGTCTTCTAGTACTTTGATAACTCTCTTTCAATTTAATTGGTTACCTTGGAAATCCTACGTATTTTGTTTCATAGATTAATATAAAATTATCCTGAGAAGGGGTGCCCATCAGATCACAGGCTCTCAATGCACCGGCTTCAGGGGTTCAAATCCTGATGCCAAGATTAACTGGCGGGGTAACCCTGGGCTCTGAGCCTGTTTCTTCGGCTATAAAATGGGGCTAAAAACTGCTCTTTCCCCACGCACTTACTGTTAAGGATTAGTGAGAGAATGCATACAAAGTAATTGGCACGTGGCCTGCCAGTTAGATAGTATGAATAAATGGTATTGTTGCTTTGGTGGTTGTCATATCCCATCCCTGGTCTTGCAGCAGAGACGTCCTGGGAGTCCCTTCAAGCACCGCTCCTGCTGGGTTAGCCAGCACTCAACGCTCTGGAAGAGTCCTCTGGGTCAAAGTACACTTACAGTTCTGTGCCTGATGGTCAGGTGCCGCCTCTCTGTTTTCGTGAACTTTTCAATCAACAGATTACTTCATAAAAACAGTCCCTCAATTGCACTCTCCCTCCCAGGTTCCCAGAAGGGGCCGGTTGCTTCAGTCCTATAACACACCGCTAGTGAGCGCCCCAAAGTATGACGTCAGCAGTGTCCCCAGAAAGGCCATGCCCAGGAGAAGGGACGAAAAGACTAAGGACAGGAGGGTGAGGGGTGAGACACTGAGATGAGCCTGCTTCCACCGCTAAGGCCGAGAGGCAGGATTTACCTCCCAAGACTGGGGAGAGGGCGCCAATGACCGTTACCTTGCCAGCAGGCCCCAACCACGAGCTGAGTTTTGACCTTGGATGGATGAAGCGGGTAATCTTCGGTCACAGAGAAGGGCTCATGAGAAACTCCGTCCACATAGAGAGTCACGCTTGGGAATTCCACATTGAGGACGTAGTGATGCCACTCCTCATCACAGACCTACGAGAGGCCGGTGGAAAAACCAGAGCATGAAATGTCTACCTTCCCTCTCATCCAGAAACAACGAAAGCCATACAACTGGATACGGAGAGCAAGTCACCCATAAGGAATAATGTCTTCTGAAAAAGGAAACGACTTTTTTTAAAAACCTAACAACAAAATACATCTCACTCACTCAACCACATCTCACCCCAAAGGGCCAAAGCAACACTATCACCTCTAGGGCGTTCCAGACCAGGCGGCAGTGCTCACTCATCATGCGACAGGGCCTCAGAATACAGAACTGCCCAATCCTCTTCTGCCAATAGTCTGACACCAGGAGATTCTGGTATCGGCAGGCTGGACAGCCTCCCACTGAGCCGGCTTAGCGCGCCTATTGGCCATGCCTCCTTTTCTGGATCAAAATGAAAAACACCTCCCATCTCAAGATAAGGCATGCTGGAGCACATGTATCTTCTTTTTCAATTCAAAGGTGATGATCTAAGTAAAGTGAGCATACAACTCAGAGGGCATGATAAATTAAACCACATTCCTTCCCCATCGTGAACGAGCATCTCTCTCGCGGCTGAGGGAAAGCACTGGTCGGCAGCCTCCAAGGCCCCTTCAGTCCAGCACTCCCTCATCTTTGGCTTTAGAGGAAAAGGCAGGCACTCAAGAACAGAGACAGGCAGAGAAAGAGATGGAGTGGGCTAAAGAAGTTTTTAAAAAGTGTTTCTAAATAAGCTTGCCTAATTTACACGTTCTAAAAAACTGAACCGATGAGAACTTCAACAGACCAGAAACATCACAATAAATGAAGAAATTACCAAAGAGTACCCCCCAGAAAAAAGCGGCTGCTCCTGATGAGTTTATTACAGAAAAAATTCAAACCTCTAACATCGTGCACATGTCTATTTCATATGCATAACAGATCAGTACATATATTGATTACATGAAACATTTTTAAATGAAGGAATTGCACAGCAATTCACTTTTGAGGCAGGTAATATCTTAATTTCAGCCTGTCTCTATTTAAAACAAGTTCTGTAGTATTAGCTCCTTCAGAAAGCAATTTCTGTTGTCCCCCTAGTTTCTGGGGCATCAGCAGAATGACACTGTAACTGAAAATCCATCTGACTCTAGTCAAAAGTCCATGACAGTATTCTGGGAAGACAGGGCTAGAACTGGCATAATTTTCGGATTTCCCTGAAAACTGGGTGAGCAGAACAGCAAAGCCCAAAGCCACAGATAACACCCATGATACTCCTTAGTTCGGTGCCCGGGTGCACCCTGAGATGCGCAGAGGTGGAGAAAAGCAACGGGGCTCCAGGTCTGGGGGATATCAGAGGACGGTGAGACCGTATTTACTTGTTGAGATGCTTTATGACAACAGAAGGGGGAGGCAGAGCCCAGAAACTAGGAAAAGGGTCATGCTACCCAACTCCCCCCTTTGAAAGTACAGGAAAAGGAATTTTATAATAAAAATGAGGAGGGGAGAAAGGACCATAGCTCAATCCCATATGAACTGTTTAAGAGAAAGAAAGAGAATTGCTGGAATAATATCCCTCCAGACCCCCTTTCAAGACACGCCGGCAACAAACATGAAAATGATCATGTATTGTCTCAAAACACACTAGAAACATCAGGAAAGTGACACAAAACATGAAAGGACGTAGCTCCTGGGGGCACCTGGGTGGCTCAGTCATTAAGCATCTGCCTTCGGCTCAGGTCATGATCCCAGGGTCCTGGGATCGAGCCCCACATCGGGCTCCCTGCTTGGCGGGAGGCCTGCTTCTCCCTCTCCCACTCCCCCTGCTTGTGTTCCCTCTCTCACTGTGTCTCTCTCTGTCAAATAAATAAATAAAATCTCCGAAGAAAATTGGGGCACCTGGATGGCTCAGTTGGTTAAACGACTGCCTTCAGCTCAGGTCATGATCCCGAGGTCCTGGGATCGAGCCCCACATCAGGCTCCCTGCTGAGCGGGAAGCCTGCTTCTCCCTCTCCCACTACCCCTGCTTGTGTTCCTGCTCTTGCTATCTCTCTCTCTGTGTCAAGTAGATGAATAAAATCTTTAAAAAAAAAAAAAAAAAATCTTTAAAGACAAAAAAAAAAAGAACATAGCTCCTGACTACAGCAACTCTGACAAGAGCTGACAAAACAGGAATGACTCGGATAGAAAGTGCCAGATACAGAAAACAGGTAAGGAATACCAACCAAAGGTGAAGGGTCCCCAGGGAAGAAAAGCAAAGTGATGAGGGGGGCGTGCTAAGAACTGTTAACAACATCAAAAACTTGCCTGAAATACCAAACGGCTTTCAACTATATACTAAAAAAGGGCATACCACATATCTGCGAAAACAGACTCAAAACAATCACGATGTAGGCATAAAATTAACTGGCTTCAAAAAAGAAAAGAATCCTTTGGTCACCCAAACGAAAGGACCAAGTGTTTTACAAGGGAAAGAAGACCAGATGGCCATCAGACGACCAGCAGCATCTTATGTCAGAAGACAACAGACAGAGAGATCTTCTGTTCTCGTAAATCCTAAATGGGAGCCAGAGATTTTATATCCAGCCAAACTGACCTTCCGTGTAAAGGCCACAGACGCGCTATTAAACACGGAGGAACTCAGGCTGTTCCCATGAATCCCTCCTGGGGACACACGCCCCACAACACAGATGATGGAGACAGAGTGAGCATGAATGGTTCCTTACATCACAGAAACAGAAACAACCAGACACAGAGCCTAAAGGGACCAGGAACATGCAAACCCGAGCCCAATCAAGCCTCAAGGCCACATTACTGATTTACAGGCTGTAAGGAAGAGAACGGAATATATGGCCCCACAGGGATGCAACCAGCCAAATCTACACTATGGGAAACTCTGTGGGACAAACGGCCTGATTTTGTCATCAAATAAATTACAGGAGAGAAGAGAAAAATCTACAGATTATAAAATAAACTCAACCAGTCACCATGTATGGCCCCTTATTTGGATCCTGATTCAAACAGATTATAAACATAGAAATATTTATGAGACAGGGGCCTGGGTGGTTCAGTCAGTTGGACATCTCCCTTCAGCTCCGGGTATGATCTCGGAGTCCTGGGGTGGAGCCCCGCCCGCGTCAGGCGCCCTGCTCAACGGGGAGTGTGCTTCTCCTTCTCCCTCTACTCCTCCCCCCAACTCGTGCTCTGTCTCTCAAATAAATTAAAAAAAAAAAAAAAAATTTACGAGACAATCTGAAACTTGAGCACTGGCTAGATATCTGACGATATTAAGGAATTGTTAATTTTTTTTGAGAGTGAGAGAGAGTGTGCACATGTGCACAAGCAGAGGGAGAGAATCTCAAGCAGACTCCATGCTGAGCGTGGAGCCTGATGCAGGGCTCGATCTCATGACCCTGAGATCATGACCTGACTTGAAATCAAGAGTTGGATGCTTACCTGATTGAGCCACCCAGGCACCCTGTTAATTTTTTTAAGACGTGAAAAAGTATTACGATTATGCTTATCTTTTAGAGACACATATTGCATTATCTCCACAGAGAACGAAATGCCACATCTGGGATTTACCTCAAGGAGCTAACTACAATCATTAATAATGAAACCTGATTGGCAGAGTGTTAACTGTTGAAGCTAGATGAAGGATACGTGGGGTTGTTCTTTACACTAATCTCTCTACTTTTACGTACCTCTGAAATTTCCCATAATGAGGTTTTTTTTAAATGTTATCAGAAGAAACTAAACATGTAAATATAGACTATGTTTATTATAACAGAACTGTGCCTATGAACTCTATGTACACTGCAAAAAGCTTTTTCTGGACTGTACCTTTCTGTAGTTTCTTGAAAAACTATATGTATAAAAGTTTCTGAGACCGAGTCTCTACATAAATGAAAATGACACAGGGAGAGATGGATGCTACCAGCTGGACCATCACTTCGTCTTTCGCCTTTGCACTACCACACACTACCACACACTACCACACACTACCACACCCGGTCTTCCTCTCCCGTTTACGCTCACACACATCCATCTATCTTGTACATGTCATGGAAGACGCTGTATTCCAGCAACTATGGGCACATATTTGTCAGCCGTGGCCCACCAACTCCATGAGACAGAACTAAGCTCAGGCCACGGGTTTCTGTCTTGACCCAACCAGAAATCAAGAGGAGAAACGATCCACTGTGATTTTAATGGAGGGGACTCAATTCACAGCGTCCCCTTGTTTCCTGTAACACATCGGTTTTTCTCACGTGATACTTGCTTTTCATCACAGAAACTATTGGGAAAGCGGCTTTGCAGAGATAGGCTATCATCAAAAGGGATATAATGTGACCTCATGTTGAAACTGTGAACTCCCTCCAGCTAGTGTGGGTTCTGAAAGATGTCGAGATTGCTGGCTCCGTGACAATTTAAAATATCCCGTGGCACCCCCAAATTTGCTGAGGCCCCCAGGGGTCCCTGGGCACAGTTTAGGAGCCAAGGCTTTGAGTAATGAATAAACCAATACAAGGACCTCAAGCCCAATTTTTAAGCAAGCACTGCTTATTTCAATAAATTACAACACAGTATTTTTAATTTAAAGCCCATAATTTCTTTATATTAATACTGGATATATAAAATACACACTTATAAAATGAAAAACTTAGGCTTTCAGTAGCAAGGAGTTCAAAGGATTTAATTTGCTATCCTATCACCCACAGGTAATAAAGTTTTTTTGAAGTGTCATCAAAAGAAACCAAACATGGTTACTATGGTTACTGTAATAGAACTGTGCCTAAAATGTCTACGTAGGTTGCAAGAAGTTTTTTTATATTTTTATATTTATTCATAAATATAAATATACAGTGCCCATAAACTGCCCATAAGTAGCTGGTCCTGTGTAAAGTTGCAGCACCTAGTTAGAGCCTCTGAAAGATCAGAATGAGCGAGTTTTCCAGGCACGTACCTGATTCAACTTCCAGTGGAATTCTGCAGGTTTGTATTTCTTCTCTTCCAAAGGATCCTGGCGGAGGAGGAAAATAAGCCGGCAGCCGTGGACATAGAGTGAATAATGGTGTCGGTTCATGTCTGCAGAAAGAAATTCTACTGGTAAACTGCCAACTTAAGACCCAAAGGAGAAGTAAAGGCCATCTCCTTAATAGATTTTGAAGACACGGTTTTATCAGCATAAGTGAACTCTCCAGTTGGGCCAAGGCAGAATTTAGAAACAAACACACTTGGATTTCACTGAGACATGGAGCCCAATTCACTGAGTAAAACTAACAACCAAATACCAGTGCAGTATCTTGAGGACAGAGAGCCCTGGCCCAGAGCACAGAACGCTGTGTGTCGCCAACCAGCCTGTGGGAGCCTCTGGGGGAAGGCAGGTGCTCCGCTTCCAGCAACCACTTCGGGGGCCACTCGAGTATGACGGGTGCCAGGACGGCAAATTAACCTACCTGTTTTGTCTGAACTACAGAGAATCGTCTCCTTCTTCCTGCCAAAAGGGCCGTGCCTCATCCACACAGAAATGGTAAAAGGCTCTTTCGGGTTGACCGAGACAACGCCATCTGGGATCCTCACTGCTTGTGTGCCATTGAACTCGAAGACCTGGTCACTGTCGTGGCCATTGTCAGTGGGGAGGCCCACAGTCCAGTTCGAGGACCCGCTCGGGAAAGGGAGCAGCTCAGCAGTGCCAGACGCAGCACCTAGGCCAACACAGTAACATTTAACACACCTTATGTGAAGGGCTTAAAAGGCATAGTTTCAAAGCCATACTAAGGCAACATTCTTATACAACTGGCTAGTCCCAGTTTACATTCCCTCAAAAATAACGGTTTTGATTAAAAAAAAAATCATAAATAGTAACTGTGAATATTTTGAAAAAAGGAAGAAAACCTTACTTGCAATCCCACCCAAATATATCCACTATTAACATCTGCATATAAACACTTCCAGTCTTTTCTTTATGAATACATACATATTATAAGAATGGAGTCTAGTGATATGCATATATACATGCACCCCCATTAATATTCTTCTACAGCATGATTTTAAATGTCTGAAAGGCATTTCATTGCACGGATATACTGTGATTTAATTAGATCTCCCTAGTAACACTGAGGTTGTCCCCACTTTTTTCTATGACAAACCTTGCCTTTATGAGGACCTCTATGTGACTCCATCCTTATTCCCTTAGCATAAATTCCTAGAAATGGAATTAGTAAGCCAAAGAACATGAAAATAATTTTCCAGCTGTCGTTATACACTGCCAAGTTCAATTTTCTTTTAAATGTGTCCACAGAAGAAGGCTGCGCTCCCCCAGTCACCTGGTCCTTCCCTGTTCCTTGGAGCCACGTGACCTAACATAAAACCTCAGTCAGATGTGAGCTCCTGCCACTTCCTAAAAATGTGAACCTACCCTCCTCCAGGCACAGTTCATTCCTCAGTAAAAATGAGGTCACCACCACCTCCTTGTAGGCCTGATGGGCACATATGGAAATGCAGGGCATACAGCAGGCACTCACATATGAAATTCTTCCCACTCTTCCTGACTTTAAACTGTTCTGCTGAGAAAATGTTCACTTAATACCTTAAAAAATCATGGCACTGGAGAGAGAAAGAGTTTTAAACATTACACTTAAATATGTATGGGGCACCTGGGTGGCTCAGTCAGTGAAGCGTCTGCCTTCGGCTCAGGTCATGGTCCCAGGGTCCTGGGATCGAGCCCCACATCGGGCTCCCTGTTCATCAGGGAGCCTGCTTCTCCCTCTTCCTCTGCCTCTACCCACACATAGTTTAAAACAGACTATGTCCCAGTCCTCTTAACTATATATATATTTAAGTACATGAATATTTGGACTCAGACTCATGCAAAACCAGAGTACGTTCATCATGAGGATAAGCTAGCAGAGAATATGCTTTTTTGCTTTTGCTTATTCCAGTTTTTTAAAAAATCCTAAATCTGCTGGCTGTTATCAGGCTGGTGGAAAGACAGGTATGAGCATGGGTGAACGGCTGCTGCACAGCGGACACTGAGTAGCTCTTGAAGCACAAAACACCCTCAGATCACGAAGAGCTCATTCAAGTTACGGGTATTTTGTCACTGGTGAAGTGAAACATTTTTCCTCAGCAGTTTCCACGACAGGCATCCATACCTCACCTCTACCTCATTTAGATAAGCCAGAAAAATGTCCACAACTGATGGTGAAGACAGAGCTCGAGGCTTTGATCAGATTTGTAACCACTGGTCTCTTGACTTCACGTAATGTTTGTGGTAAAAAGAATCTGCTGAGACTCGAAATTAGATGGGAGTATTCTTAGTTTTGATTTTCTATCTCACGTTTGCCATAAGCTATTGCATTACCTATGTTTTTTTCTTCAGTCCTGAGATAAACATCTCATTTCATTTCAAACTCACTCCACTTAGATAATCCCTCTTTTGAGGATTCCCTAGGTTAGAGAAATACTTTCTTCTAATCACTGGTTCTTAAAATGCGCATGCATGTAACATTTTAAACAGCCTGTTAGGGGTTTATGAACCTCCTAAAGCCCAAAGTATGAAAATTAGCCAGGAAGCAGTAATGGCCACTTCAGAGGGTCCAAGTCTGTTTCAATGTCTGATTCTAACCAGCAACACAGGCACACATTCCCTTCCATTTGAGAGGGGGTCTCTCGCCTTCCCTGAAGACCACCGGGCCCCCTTACCACACAGTTGGTGAAGGGACTTCTCAGAATAGGTGTCCCGGTCACAGCCTTTCCCGATGTGGCCAGTCTCTAGCTCCACCGTCGCCTGCACCGAGGCCACGGATTCATCACATGTCTCCAGGTGCACACTGGGGAAGAGGGCCAAGGTGCCCGTGCCAGGCTCATACTCGATCCTATTGTTCCATCCTGGGTCGGTCCACAAACCCGGGAGGGGAGAAAGGAGGAAAACTCACACTTTAGTTTTCTCTGCTAGATGGTGTTTAAGAATAGCTACGAGAGCAGAAAGGACAACAAAGCTCACCTTGCCACCCCGGGGTGCAGGTGGGCTTGATGCTGACCTTCACCAAGACATCTTCTGCTGCTCTCCGCTTCCCGCAGTCATAGGCGGTGACTGTCAGCTTGTACTGGTGCTCCTTCCCGTAGTTCAGCTTCTCTGTGTTTTTTATATAACCTTCCAGAGGGGCAGAACAACAGTGAGAACGCAGGGCCGAACTGAGACAAAGTGCACAAGCTTCAAGCGTCATAAACACTGACGGCGAAATAAAACCTCGGCTGGAGATAATTAACACTCGGTCTGGCTGTCCGGAGCTTGAACACACACTAAGTCCACCTTTAAGGATTGTTCCAACAGAAGGAACGAGACTACACAATTCAACCTTCATTTATTCTTATGGTTTTTCTTTTTTGGGTTTATGTATTTGTTTTAAGCTTAAGTAGTTCACATGTAAGAGGACAAAGAAAACAAAATAATTCAAGTAATTCAAATATGAAATACAAGATCAAGCTGCACTATTTCTTATTAAAAGATTTACTTTGTGTGTGTGTGTGTGTGTGTGTGTGTGTGTGTGTGTGTGTGTCAGAGAGACAGAGAGATTTCCTACCCCCACCCACTAGAACAGGAGCCTGCTTTCGAATGTGAGTGCAGATGTCTTGCAGGGTTTGCAATGTCCATGATTTCATTAGAAGATTCTGGACGGTGCATTAGCAACACAGATTGTATCACCATCAAGAAGCTGTAACCTAATAAAGAAGCGGAGTTTTAGCACGAGTTCATTCAGCTCAATGACGAAGGATGGGAGGATCTGCCAGGAAGGCATAAACCTTCACATTCCAGATGAGGCAGAAGATCCAAATCTAACAACAGCAAACAGACCAACCAAAGGTCAGTCTTTTCGGGTGCACACTGATGGAAAGGTGAGAAGGTACATATTAAAAACATGTTAAGTGGGGGATTTTTTAGACCTTGGTGAGAGAGGAAAAAGAAGGGTGCCCCATAAAAGAACACACAACTTCAGGTGCCAGGAGCAAGGCTTTCAGGGGACAGAATAAAAAAAATGTGAAACACACACATACACAGCCCCATCAGGGCTCTCTGCTACGGACTGAATGCTTGTGTTCTCCCAAATCCCTACGCTTAAGTCCTAACACCCAATGTGATGTGACAGGGAGGTCCTCCTTGGGGAGGAACTTAGGTTTAGGTGAGGTCGTGAGGGTGGGCCCCACACTGGGATCCCAGAGGGCTCTCTCTCTCTCCCCACCACGTGAGGAAGCAGCAGGAAGACCTCCTGTGAACCAGGCCTCAGGCCTCATGAGACACCGAATCTGCCAGCACCTCGATCCTGGTCTCCCAGCCTCCAGAACCATGCAAAGTTAAGCGTCTTGTGGTACTTTGTTACAGCCGCCTGAAGGGACGGATGAAGATCGTCTCGAATCTGAGTTTTGCCCGTGTGCAGACCTGCCCACAGACTGTCGCCCCGGTAAGGAAGGCTTGCTCCTCTGACTTACCATCTTTGTCGATGGCGAACGGCACATCTGGAGTGACGATTTCATAGCTGCAAATCTGGCTGAACTGAGGGGAGCAATCTGCGTCCACAGCCTCCACCCGCAAGATGCTGTCATACTGTTTGCCCTCGATGACGGTTGCCTTGTAGGACTTCTCCTTGAACACCGGTGCGTATTCGTTCACATCGTTCACCTGAATATGGACAGTTGCCCTGAAAGAAGGAAAAGAAAAAAAGCTGTGTGCTCGGTTTGTTTTTTTCCCCAGAGCATACCAATTCTGCCCTAGTTTTAGATTTCTTTTTGCTACTATCTTGTTTCATGAAGATCAAATGATGGAGATCAAAATTAAACAAGTCATTGTTTTTACTTTAGCGTGGAGATGACTTTCGAAAGTTAAAATAGGAATTTGAGTTGATTCTTCCAGATCCTAAGAGTAAGGCGGCCGGTTTAAAAAAAAAAAATAAGAAAGGGGCGCCTGGGTGGCTCAGTCGTTAAGCGTCTGCCTTCGGCTCAGGTCATGATCTCAGGGTCCTGGGATCGAGCCCCACATCCGGCTCCCTGCTCAGCAGAGAGCCTGCTTCTCCCTCTCCGTCTGCTGCTGCCCCTGCTTGTGCTTGTTCTCTGTGTCTGTCTCTCTCTGCCAAGTAAATAAATAAAAAATCTTAAAAAAGTCAAAAATAAAAAAATAAAAAAAATTTTTTAAAAAGAAAAAAAAGGGGCAGTAATATAAAACAAAAGAGACTTGGGGTTTTCTTGACAGTATGGGACAGGGCGTGCAGAAGGGGGTAAACTAGATAAGACAAAATTAGAGCCCAAGGAAGAAGGGGTAAGACAGAGAGAGAAGATGGGAAACATGGACGGGGAGTCTGACCGGGAGCATGGCAACAAGTTCTGTCCCGCTTCTGCGGAACCAAGACCACCAGCAACCCATTGTTACCCATCCCCCATTACTGATCCAACAAACGAAGGACCTCAACATGACCTCAACGTTCCCCTCCTAGCAGACCCCTTGCTGCCATGTTCCACCTCCCCAGCTCGGGCAAGAGGCAACAAAGGTGCCATCAGACTCGGTAGCAAAGAGAGGAAACGGTCAGTCTCAAGGGCTATTGATCAGGGCGTGTTTCTGACTCAGACAAGATCTCTGACTCAAATAATGCCTTTTTCAAGGACAACAGTAATGTCACATCGTGTGAAAGGGATGAGGAGAGATTCGCTGGCTCTCAGCACCCGAGTGTTCACCAAGACCCTCCACGCCCAACGTGGAGCATCCTCCTGACCCAGCACAGTGGGTCACGTGCCGTCATCCCGAGCGCCCCTCTCCCCTTAGCCCAGGCGCTAAGTAAAAACTGAGACTCAACAAAACGAAATTTGCCTAATGTCAAAGGGATAGCAAGTGGTGGAGAAAACAATGGATTCTGGGGCGCCTGGGTGGCTCAGTCGGTTAAGCGTCTGCCTTCGGCTCCGGTCATGATCCCAGGGTCCTGGGATAGAGCCCCACGTCGGGCTCCTTGCTCTACGGGGAGTCTGCTTCTCCCTCTGCCTACAGCTCCCCCTGCTTGTGCTCTCTCTGTCAAATAAATAAATAAAATCTTAAAAAAAAAAAAAAAAGGTATATGCTGCTGGATTAACCATTAAAAAAAAAGAAAGAAAGGAAGTAAAGACTGGATTCTATCTAAATCTACGTTTTGTCCAGAGTCCCATCGGTTACATCAGTAGTTCTCAGCCGGCAGGAAGGACAGGGACACAACCAGGAGGGGGACGCAGCACTCAGCCTGCTCCCACCAGCAGGAAGGAATTCTACACCCTTAGAATTCACAAAAAAGGGGCGACTGGGTGGCTCAGTCATTAAGCATCTGCCTTCGGCCAGGGTCCTGGGATCGAGCCCCGCATCGGGCTCCCCGCTTGGCAGGAAGTCTGCTTCTCTCTCTCCCACTCCCCCTGCGAGTTCCCTCTCTCGCTTATGTGTGCCTCTCTGTCAAATAAATAATAAAATAAAATCTTAAAAAAAAAAAAAAAAAAGAGTTCACAGAAAAAAGAAACCTAACAACAAAATACCTCCCTCGGGAAAAAGTGGGCTTTTCCAATTTTCAGCGTAGGGCCTTAGTGTCTTTAACAGAGCATTTGGTGGGATAAAATTACTCATTTATTTATTCAACATCTAATGCTGTGGGGTAAACAGATAGGATTCCTGCCCTCAAAGAGCTTAGAGTGTCATAGGGGACAACCCAGAAATATCTTCTGCCTCACCTTTAAAAACACAGAGCCTTGGGGGGCACCTGGGAGGCTCAGTTGGTTAAGGGTCTGTCATTGGCTCAGGGGTCCTGGGACTGAGCCCCATGTCGGGCTCCCTGCTCAATGGGGAGTCTGCTTCCCCCTCTCCCTCTACCCCCTGCCCCAGCTTATGCTCTCTTTTTCTGTCTCTGTCTCAATTAAATAAATAAAAATAAAATCTTAAAAAAAAAGAGAGTCTTGGGGACAGGGACAATGGTCACTACTGCCTTCCGCACGCACCCACTCTCTGCCCAGCTTACTTACTTATGAGACTTTTTTACGTTGGTGCCGTCCGGCCCCTTGCCGCAGTCATAGGCCTGGATGGTGAATGTGTAGTCTTTCTGCAGCTCACAGTCCAGTTTCTCTTTTGAGCGAATGATTCCCTCGCCAGTGGACTTATCCACTACCACTGCATCAAAGGGGACATTCTGCCCGTGAATTTTAAATCCACAGATCTCACCTAAGGAGTCAAAGCAGCGCAGGTTAGAATTTCTGCCCCGTGCATCTGCACATACCCCCTTCCTCCCCTCCCCGGCCCCACGCCCCCAAAAAGAAAAGAAACGACAACAGTTCAGCAGCCAGGGGTTTAGAGGGTCTGTGGACAAAGCAAGGGCACTGTGCTTTGACAGGGATAAGTTCTGGGGCTTTAGTAAAAAGAAGCATGTTCTGGCTTTCCAAGCAACTTGCTTAACTTTGCATCCATTCATGCAGGAGTACAAAAGAGAAAAAGAGAAAATATAGACAGGCATTTCACAGGAGTACTTAAGATAGCTCCAGGGTAAAAGCGGTGTCATTAGCAAACAGCCATGGCCTGAGAACACGGGGAGCTGTCCCCAGCTACTGGGGACAGCTGGGCAGCGATTTTGATTTGGACCAGAGAGAAGGCTAAAATGCAGTTAAGTGTCGAGAAGGGAAGAAGTGTGCTGTTATAGGTTCAACACCATAATTACAGAAATTCTGTCCAAAAAAAAAAAAAAGAAAGAAAGAAAGAAAAATCAAAAGAAATAAGTCTTCCTGTGCAATGAGCCTGGCTAAAATTAGGGAATCAAAACAAACTACTGAATGAGAAAGGTAGAAATACCAACTTCTCAGGCATCCATTTCAACAACTATAGTCCACTATTAAGATCGGTTCTGTCACGGGCAGGGATTGGCTAGACTCGCCTTTGTTGCCAACACTAGACTATCAGACCTGGAAAAGAAGCCTGCCTGGGGACATCAGTACATCTAAGTTGGCTCACAAGCTCAATTAGGGGTGAAAATCTAGGTTTCCATTCTTGCCTGTGGGAGAACAAACATAAATGTTTTGATATACATATAAAACTTCAGAAAAATGTATTTCACATAAAAATAAGACTGCCCTCTTCCAAAATTACAACTCACAGAAAACGGTTACAAAGTGAATCTCTAAAGTTCAATTGAGAAAAAAAAATGCACAGTATTATCCATACAGTTCAAATGGATGTCTGATTTCCAGATATTTCTAACCAAGGGTTTGGTTACATACAATTTCCATCAATATATTTAAAAATAGAAACAAAGTAGGAGAATAAATCAGGGTAAAAGAACATGACAGTTTCTTCTGTTTAAGGGCTGATTCCCAATTTTATAAACAAAGTTAGTGGGTTAATATTCGTAAGAGGGATAGAAAGAACCCTTTATCACCTTCTTTGGTGACTGTCACCTCAAAACTCTCTAAAGGGAGAAAAGATAAACCCATGTCAGTAATGCAGGAAAGAATAAAGACGGAACAATAAGGAAAAAAGTCAAAGATGCACATATTACATAGAAAAGCTTGACATAATTCAACAATCAGCTCAGTAGCCACTCGCCAGAAGCGCTACAGAGAACTGGATCTTCAGGAGCACAAACCACTATATAATGTTGAAATTACACCAACCTGGAGATGAAATCTACTATAAAATTTCATAACACCCCTCAAGTGCCGTTTGGACCATTTTTAATGACCACTTTCACGGTAACAGTTAATAAGTAAACCTATTTGTTACTTTACAGTTTTCAAATTTTTCATTTTCAAACTGAGTTCTTGTGGCTCAATTCTGGTAACATTCAACCCAGTACAAGATTTGATGAAACAAAAAACAAACATTTGGGGACCAGAGGGTTTTAATTCTCTGTTCTTGAGCTGGAGAAATAACCACGTTTTCTAATCTAAAGGACCCAACCAAGGCAACGCACATAAACCCCTCATCTAACGGAACATCTGCTTGAATGTGAACTGAAACCAGATTCGATCCTCACTGCAGTGACACCACAAGGACCGTGGCTTTTAGTGAAAACACTGTTCTCCAAAGTCAACAGAAGCGCTGCTTCCTCACCCCCCCAACCCAGGGCTGCTACAGAGGAGTGCCACCACGCAGAGGTCAGGAGGTCAGGAGCCCCACTGCCTCTTCAGGACAGAGTCAGCCTCACTGGAGCATCTTCTCTCCCCCAAAGGCAACGTATCCGCTTTCTCTTACTTTCCAATGGTTTTACCATATATTTGTATATCCCTGAATAATGTTTCATTTTGCCTGTTTTGAGGTTTGAAAAATGGTATCACATGGTATGCAATTTTTGTGACTTGCTTTTTTGTTGTTGTTTTAAAGTTTATTTATTCATTTTTTCTTTTCATTTTAAGTAGGCTCCACGCTGGGGGGGAGCCTACTTAAAATGCAGGGCTCGAACTCACGACCCTGAGATCAAGACCTGAGCTAAGATCAAGACTCGGACACCTAACTGACTGAACCACCCAGACACCCCTACTTTATTTTTTTAAGTAGGCTCCGTGCCCAACATGGGGTTTGAACTCACAACCTCGTGATCGAGAGTTGCATGCTCTACCAACTGAGCCAGCCAGATGCCCCGTGACTTGCTTTTTCACTCAACCTTGTGTGTCTAAGATTCATTCATCGCTGTTGGTGGATACAGAATAGTTTATTTCTTTTCGCTACTACATTCAGCGAGAATCCAAGGAGTTAGAGCAGCTAAAGTGCTTAGAACACGGCCTGGCTTAAAGAAAGCACTCAACAAATGTTTGCTATTACTCTAAGTATTTCCCACTGTGTGAGTGCACCATCATTCCCGTTTTCTGCTAAGGACAACGCTGTGACAGACATTTCTTTTTTTTTTTTTTTTTAAAGATTTATTTATCCATTTATTCAAGAGAGACAGAGGAGGAGAGAGGGAGAGAGAGAGAGAGAGAAGCAGAGGGAGAAGCAGGCTCCCAAGGAGCAGGGAGCCCGATGCGGGACTCGATCCCAGGACCCTGGGATCATGACCTGAGCCGAAGGCAGACGCTTAACCATCTGAGCCACCCAGGCGCCCGACAGACATTTCTAAACGTGCTTTCTGCTGCACGTTTGCAGTCACTGCAGGCCCCGTACTGCCCAAAACTAGAGCCACTAGCCCACATGGGCTGTTTAAAATTAAACTAAAATTCATATTAAAATTGAATAATATTGGGACACCTGTGTGGCTCAGTTGGTTAAGCATCCGCCTTTGGCTCAGGGTCCTGGGATCAAGTCCCACATTGGGCTCACTGCTCAGCAGGGAGTCTGCTTCTCCCTCTCCCTCTGCCTCTCTCCCCAACTCGTGCTTGCTCAAATAAATAAATAAAATCTTTTAAAAAAATTGAATAATATTAAAAATCAGTTCCTCAAGCGCCCTGGCTGTCACACCACAGGTGCTCAGTAGCCACACATGAGGAGTAACTACTGAGTGTGGGATGCAGACATAGAACATTCTGTCACACATGAGGAGTAACTACTGAGTGTGGGATGCAGACAGAGAACATTCTGTCACCACAGCAAGTTCTACTGGACAGAGCTGCTCAGAATCCGGGCAAACTATGGCCTGCACACGAAATCCAGCCTCTGTGTGTACTCGAATAGCCTGGAAGCTAAGAGTGGTTTTTACTTTTTAAAATATTACTTTGTGGGGCGCCTGGGTGGCTCAGTTGGTTAAGCGTCAGCCTTCGGCTCCGGTCATGATCCCAGGGTCCTGGGATCGAGCCCCGCATCAGGCTCCCTGCTCGGCGGGAAGTCTGCTTCTCCCTCTCCCTCTGTCTGCCGCTCTGCCTACTTGTGCTCTCTCTCTCTCTGTTAAATAAATAAAAATCTTTAAAAACAGACAAAAAATACTACTTTGTGACAAAAGTAAATTGTTTGAAATTCAAAGTTCAGTGTCCATAAGTAATGTTTTACTGGAATACAGACATGCTCTTTTGTTTCTGTATGGTCTACAGCTGTTTTTCCACTATAGTGGCAAATCTGGGTCACTGCAAGAGAGACCCTATGGGCCACAAAGTCTAAAACATTCACTACCAGCCCTTTATAGACGTTTGCTGATCGCTAACAGATACACCTCTGTGTAGAGAACTGCTGAGTACCAGGTATGTCAAATTTCCAGAATGTCCTAATTCACTCCATTATGTTTACGCTTCTTTTGGGTGTATATTAATACTGCATAATGCATTTTAAGATAAGTCAAGTTGCTCAGTTTTTAACTCAGAGTTTACTCTTCTAAAGAGAAAACAGTGATCCAGATCCACGTTATTGGAGTTGGCATACCTGACAGTGACCGAGGGTGCCTTCCTGGCAAAGGCCGCTGTGCAGGTGAGTGCAGATTTAAGACCCTGCCATGAGGTATCTATCGTGGGTAATGCTGCTTACGTAGTGCATCACTGAATAAAAGTATAAAGAGGCTGGGGCGCCTGGGTGGCTCAGTCATTAAGCGTCTGCCTTCAGCTCGGTTCATGATCCCGGGATCCTGGGATGGAGCCCCACATTGGGCTCCCTGCTCAGTGGTGGGAAGCCTGCTTCTCCCTCCTCCACTCCCCCTGCTTGTGTTCCCTCTCTTGCTGTCTCTCTCTCTGTCAAATAAATAAATAAAATCTTAAAAAAAAAAAAAGTATAAAGAGGATCGTTCAAGCAATGTCCTTGAGACTGTTTCTGACCATGAGTTTATCATGAGGAGTGGAACTGTTTGCCAAAAGACGTACACTCCCTAACTTTCTCCTCTGAGATACCAGGCTGGGAGGCGGGAGGAGGAGAATGTAGAGTGTGTAGGAAGACAATGGGGTGTTTCAATTTTATATTTCAGTGTTCAGGGGAGGTTTCGTTGATAATGTCTGAGTAGAAACCAGAGGGAACTAAGGAAGCAAGCCACATGATTATCTAGGGAAGAATTTCAGACCAGGAACAGCAAGTGCAAAGGCCCTGAGGCAGGCCTGGGCCTGGCCTGGCTTAGGAACTTGGAGGCTGATGCTGCTGCAGTGGCTAGGCAAAGGGGAGACCAGCAGAGGAGGTCCAACAAAGATGAGTAACCCAAAGCTACAGGGGCTGCTTCAAGAATTGCAGCTTGTCCTCCTAGTGAGAAGGAAATGACTGGAACGTTTTATGCGGGAAAAAAGTATGTTTTATATTTTGAAAGAATCCAACTGGCGTCTACAAGCAGGCAA